AATAAAAGAGATAACGTACGAATAATTCGTTATTCGTACGTTATAAATACGTTTCCAAAGGTATGTTTGCATATTACGTATTATTCGACCTATATAATGTAAGAATTCACGTGACACCAATCCAACTTCATAAATCATTACGAGCGTAAATTAGAATAATACTAATAGGTTATTTTTATCTTTACGATCCAAATTGTGTTACGGCTTGCAATTGTCGAAATGCGATAAATAAAAAATATGCGAACCGCGGTTTCATTCGCGAAAAAAAGTTACGCGAATGAACTATCAGTTGGCAAGATTAAGATTTCTTATTAGTCATTGACCAAAGTGAAAACAAAAAAATTCGGATAAAAAAATTGATAAAGTTAATTTATCTATTAATTATATAAATTATTAAATTGCCATCTTTAGTGCAAAAGATAGCTTAATTAGAGTTATCGCGTGGATTACCTTAAGAAGACAAGTATGTACATATATATTCATCAACAAATATCTATTTATTTAGAAAACAGATACGAATCTTTTATGCAACGTGTAACATTTCACAACTTCATGTGGTGAACTTTAATATAATATATTTCTCTCCTTGCTCCGATCTCATCTCTCATTCTTAGCTCTAAGACGTCTTTATTGTCTCTCCTTCAATTTATACAGGCCGGTAGGAACACTAAATGAAGGAACTAAGCGTCGAGTTTTTATATATACGTGTACATATAACATCGACTCTCCGCTGTCTGATTGCGTTTACACGTGACCGGGGTTCCCTCGAGAACGAAGAAGACCGAAGAACGTGAGCCACGTGAGCCTTGATCGAGGACGACGAGGTCGGTAAGGACTCTCTTCGTCTTTTGTAATATATTTCAAGCAAATTTATCTTCTTCTTAAGGTAATCCACGAGATAACCCTAAGCTATCTTTTGTCAGTAACTAAATTAACTTGATCTATTTTCTTTTATCTAAAATCTCCTGTTTTCACTTCGACCAATACTAATAAGAAATTAATCTTGACAACTGTGATAGTTTATTCGCGTAATTTGTTCTCATGAATATAAAAACACAATTTCATATATTTTTTTATTACATTTCAACAACTCCATATCAAACCAAAATAAATTTTTACGTGAATACACGTGATGTATTACATCTTTTTTAAAAAGATTTAAGAATTTAATTAAATATCTTTAAATAGATTTAAAGATATTTGAAATATTTAAAGATTTTATTGTAATATATGGCTATGTTATGAAATGTTATCATATTTTAGAAATATAAGAACAACTGGAATGTGGGATCAATTATATATCACGTGCAAACGTAGTAATTAACATTATGCACCAATGACATGAATTATTGCATTTTCCCCGATGTTAAGTCAATTATTTCGTTCGCAGTGGTTCATTTCGCTCGATGATAACGCAATTTCGATAATCTGTGGCGGGCATCAAAGCGACGCACGCGGCTCAGTCATTACGAGCTGGCGTCTCCGCGCGAAGACAATGACGGAGATGAGGGTCTCTTAGCGCATCGCATTATGCACGCCTCGTCGACGAACTCATTAAAGCCACCGACCGCGCCACGTAACCCGGAATAACCCTTCGAAAACTCGAGGGGGAATGAGCAGGATAAACGTTCTCTTTCTCACTCAGGAAAATCGTTTAGGATTTGCAGTCAGTTTAGTGTATATCTATCCTTTGAATTGTGCAATTTCGCAACATTTTACATTACAGCACTATTACAGTTATTATAAGAATAATTTGTTAATCATGAATAACTTGCTCTCTCTTTTCCATGTCAAAATTTTGTCAACATTAAAATTATGCTGCTACAATAATACAGCATAATTAGAATATTAATCAACGTTTGACAGATGCATAGATCTACATTAATTTATTTTCTCTCTCTCTCTCTCTCTCTCTCTCTCTCTCTTCAGTAATTAACTGTATGTACGCAGTTAAGTGACGTGTGTGTGTTTCTAAAATTAAAAAAATGCTCTCAAGGGTTAGCAACAACACGTTATATAGAAAAAGGAGGATATTTATAAAGTTATTGACAGCTACGGATAAACTGAAAAAAGCCGCGTGGACTCTGAGGCAGCAACTCTGTTTTTTTTTTTTTGAAGAGCTGAGAGATAATTTTTTTTTATTAATACAGCAACTCGCCTTACCTTTCTTCGTCATATGTTTAAAACTGTCTAATCTAAAAGAGTTCATTTATTTTTATTCTACCATATCCTTTCATTCACAATTCTTCCACTTCATCGCCTTTAATTAATATTCTAGAATCTCAAATTATGGTTCGAGGATATAAATATCCGAAGCGCAATACTCCCGAGATTGAATTTCTCGTTTGCTCGAATATATACATCGCCAAAATGAGATAACAAATAATATATACTATATGTATATATGTACATATAATATATGCGCCAAGATATATTTTATTACCATCACATATCTATGTTACACGCGAATTGAATACAATAGATTATCGATATATTACATAATATTGGACATTTAATCTGCTCTCGAACCAATTTAGCTGTATCGGTATTTTTATCTTGTGGACATGTGGCTTCTGAATTCCTGTTTTAACTGGCCTATAAATATGTAGATAAGAATATTACACGTATGAAAGGGCAGAGATCTGAGATACCGAAGTAGATATTTTGACTTCACTTTCTCTCATTGTCAGTAAGATATATAAAAATTTTAATGCGTCACATTACGCACAATTTATATGTCAGTAAAAATGCGATCCAAAATTAAATGACATATTTTGAACGTTGAAAAGAATAACGGATGTTTCGTGAATTCTCTTATACCCTCCTTTTTCCATATTTATCTTTGCGCCTTTCCCTTTGTACTATTCTAATGCATATCTTTCCGTGTTGCTTTTCACTTTGCCGAAGCCACTGAAGTGAATAACCCAGGGCAATAGCGAATGATTCAACGGACCGCACGAGGCAAAGGTGTCAGTAAGGAGTGTTCGAGTGAATGCATATCCAATTACAGGACTGTGCCCGGTCAGGCGATCTTTGAAGCCGAACTTCTGAACCGATCGACTTACCTAATTTCGCCCAGCTTTAATGAGTTGGTTTCACCCTTCCGCGACCGATGAAACGGTCCGTTTATTCCATTAATTAGCCTTAGCGGTGAAATCCTATATCCTAATGGATAATGGTATTTCACGGAATTTGGTAACGACAAAAAGCGAAAAATTCTACCGCGGTCGGCTGAAAATGTTTTAAATGCGTCTCGAGATGCGTCCGACTATAAATATCGAGATGAATCATTGGAGTGCATTGGCCTAAATACTGAGCCGCGTCACTGATGCGTGGCGGACTGAGCATCGAGCTACATCACTGACGCGACACCGCCACGGCTTAAATATCGAACGGAAAAATTACACGGGGAGAAGGGCTGAAAGTATTAATGAGAGATGAATAATAAGGGATCGCAAAAGTGCACTCGTTCTGCATGGGATGCTAATAACGCCAGTCCTGTAATAACACTCCTGGCGAATTCACGTATAAAAAAATAAAAATAGCAGAAGAGAAAAACGCTCGCAGGCAAAGTGAATATAAAGCGGCTGGATGCTCCCGCTCTCCCCGGGCGTGCTTTTCATCGGGCTGGTAAGTAATTTCATTGCGGACATTACTATACAGGATATAAAGTTACGTACATCCGGATACTTCCGGCGATGAGAGAGCGTCTAAGACGAGCGCTTTACTCTTCCCCGCGTTTTATACAGCACGCAACGCGATAGGAGTGTAGAAGAAGAAAAAAGGAAGAAACGGAAAAAACGTTTCAATGCGTCGAAATGTCCCTTGACTGCTGTGAAAAGAACGGAAGCGTAAAAATGGACTTTAATATGCCCCTTCGTCGTGCCGCTCGTCAGCACCGCGCAGCGCCGTGATAAAAAAAATTAATACAACTCAGAAAAACAAAACAAAAAAATCCGAGCTGTAATTTCCATTTGCATGTTCAATTGTGAAAATGTCATTTAAACGTAATTTGTATTATATGTTAAATATTATATTATTGTTCGTACTATTGTTACGGGGTAATGTTACGTGTCATAAGCATTTACTTTCGGCATCACCTTTTCATTATTTTCCTTTTTCCATGCGAATTCACGGAAAGATAATTTTATTATGTAAAAATGCGTTATGCATCGTGATAACGCAGTTGTAGACGTAGTGAAATGTACAGTATAAATGGATCCCACGTTGATGTCCCGGCGCGAGCACCGGGATTAATTAGTCATGGAAATAATAATTTACCTCGTCACCCGCATGTAATTATACAATTACGCGGTTATTTATAAATGAGTAGAATTAATCAACTGCTCGGATAATGCTTTGGAGCAGGAGAACTTGCCGAAATAAATTTTCATAATCCCGACACGGAAGCCAACTAATCGCCTTTAGCACTCACGCGTATTACCTGGATGCAACTTCCGCCTGATAATGTCTAATATATACAATATATATGTATATACATATACTATATACGGACATCGGTCGGTGTGTCAAAGGCAGATCGATCACGGGCAAGAGCAAACATGCAAAAATACGATCGCGCGGAGTACATGTAAAAATTACGTATGCCATTCGCAAATGAAAATATCTTGAAACAAAGAATATAAATATATGTGAAATAGATGAAAAATAGATATTATTCGCAAGTTTGCTTGTTAAAAAATTTTGCATGCGTAAAAATAACTGCTGTATTTTCAAGAATAAAATAATATACACATACACATATATTTTTTATAATTATAATGTATAACAAATATATATATGTGTGTGTGTATAAATAAATATAGATTATATTTCTCTTTAAAAAGAAAAACAGATTTGTAAAAACAATTTTCTTCCATGTGCAAGAATAAAATTGTATAGAAAATGTCTAAAATTATTTATATTATCTATTTAAGTATTAAAATATGTGATTTATTACTAGCTCATTACACTCTTGCTTTCGTACGGCGAATAAAACGTTAGGAATGTACATATTCTACATGCAGTTAAATTTGGTATAACACAACATGCGCTTTTTCTTAAATATAATACGAAGAAGCAAACCGCTAGGCGGAACTCACCGTCGTTGTTGGTCCGTGCGCGAGGTGGAGATGAGCTAACAGTTGGGAAATTTCTGGAGACGTTGTCCCGTGGTGGTGGCTGCGGTCCTTCGAGATTTGGACTGGGGCTGAATTCAGCCCTAAAGTCCGCCCGGTCGAAACCTTCTTCGACCTCTTGCGTCTCCTCGTCCGGCTCGACGCCACCCTCGAATTGCTCCCGCAGCACCGACCTCGGAACTGGAATGGAAAAAGAGAAGTTCGAAGTCTGTGTAATGGACTCCATCAGCGACACATCAAATATACATAGAGGAACGCCGTTTTGTACAAGATTGCCGATATAAGGAAAGAATCCGTCGACGACGAGAGTCGCGATAAAATCATTTCCGCGTCGGTATTGGTTTCCGTTAAAAGCTTGCGATTGACAGAAATCCGAGACGAGGAGTGATACATGTTTCATGAGCAAAAAAATTATGTAGGAAAAAAGGTAAATCTGGATGTAACTATGTATAACTATAATTTTTCCCTCGTAATTATTTAATAATACCGAGCGCGTGGTAAATTTCGCGTTTCGCATGACATCGCGATGAGCTGCGACGAGTACGCTGAATTTTATTATATATATATGCAACGGCTCATTTACGTGTGCATAATACATATGCGGAAAATGCGAAATCATTCGATCGTTCGATGCATCTTGCCCCTCAAGAATTCTCGTGGCATCCTATTCCGCGTATTCTACGCGCACTGCATTCAGGCTAAGTTCGCGCGAGCGAATTTATGCGATGGCTTCCAGAGCGCCCCGTTCTAAATGCACGTAAGTGCACGGATAAGCGTTTCGATCGGATCAAAATGTGAATGTTAACGTTATGCGCGATGGCAAATAAATCCGCTTTGAGATGTGTGGGTGCAGCGGCTAATACCCGCCAGTAATAACGCTGCATTTGCGAGCGTGCGCGCGTGCGCGCGCGCGTACGTTGTGTATCGGGTCGGAATGAAATGCTACCGATCGTTGTAAGTGATACGCAATCGTTATCGTGCTTACACGATACTGCCCCGTTTTTCATTGCACGTGCGTCGCCGCGCTTGCAATAAACCTCGCGCCCCGGCCAGGAGTGTGCTCGTGAATTCGCGACATGAAATAGTTTCGTTGCGCGGGGCGATCGCGAAATAACGTTCCGAGATGAAATGTGGAAATATACGTGATATTTTGAGAAACGAAGAGAAAGTAGTCGAACGAGAATTTTACGAGTGGCAATCGTGAATCGTGATCGCGAAATCACGCGTCTATATGTGTCCAAAAGCAGTGAATCAACGCAATAATTTTCGATTACGCTTTATTTCATTCAGAATTCTAAATATACACTAAATTCTCGTTATTTTTGTAATTATAAAATATAAAAATGTAAAAAAATAGAAAATACTTTCTATACTTTCAACTTTAATAGCTTTTAAAATAGATTCGTACAATTAAATTAAAATTTCTATAAATACATAGTCTTATATACATCTCAGCGATATAAATGTGAATTTATGATTAACCGCCCCTCTAATAGTTTTCCATTTAAAAAAAAAAAAAGAGTTAAAAGCATCGGCATTTTAAATTTCTGCTCAGTCTCGTATTTTTACTTTCCCTTCTAAGAGTGCCTAAGGCTTTTAAGAGTGCTCAAGGCTTCTAAAAAACGGATCGAAAAAATTTCTGCACGCTGATCAACACTGTCCTAAGAGCTTAAGAACGTCAGTCAGTAAATTAACTTGCAAGATAATTCACTCCGAGACACTCTGCGCGAGCAGAACACGGCGAATCACTCGTGAAAATCTTGCTAGCCCGCTTTAAAATAATTTCCGTCATTTCGTCGGGTAAATTTCCGTATATAATAATCCAGAAGCGTGCATAGCGACGGCCCGTTCACCGAATTAAAGGCAAATGACGCGACTACATAAGCGGGCGAACCGGCGCGGCAGCGGGCGGCGATGTAGCTTGTTTACTGCAATTAATAATTGTAATTTAACACCAATTCTGCGGTGGTACATGCCGCAACGGGTTATACCACGGTCTTGGCGCCCGGCGCCCGGCGCTCGGCGCGTTCGTGCGCGCAGAACACTCATGACGCTTTAAACCGAGCGAATACATTATGACCCGCGTCCACGTATAATGGAACGGAGAAAATGTGGGGAGGCGGAGAAGATGCGGTTGAGCTACTACCGCCATTGCCGCTGGTGCAACATTATGCGCGAAGTATTGTGGAAAAATATCATTTTCTCTATCATCCTGCACCGCAACGAGTATTAAAATATAATATTATTCAGTATATAACTAACAATTGCAATTCGGACAGACAGCAATTTCAAAATTAATACAACATGCATGCGAATCGAGTAGATTTTTTAATAAGATGCCAGTATCAATTTTTATGATCGTGAAATTAATTCTTTAGGTTAGCTCATATATATATATATATATATATATACGCTCTTCTTTATAAATATATAACTTTAAAAATTTTAGCCAACTAAAAGTCGATAATGTACATTTATAAACTGTGTTTCGCCACTTTTATTAATTTGTTTAGGAGCAGTTTAAAACTTTTTAAGATAAAAATCAATTTTCTCCTGCAAGAAAGCTCAAGAACCAGTACTATCCTATTAATTAATTATATCACACAATTCCAACTTGATCGCAACTTAATGTACTTTATTATTTTTTACTTAGATCATTAATCTATATAAAGAAATAAGGGAATTTTCGTATAAGTATAGGAACTATAGTAATGACTCATACGGCCGGGGTGTAGCTTACTCGTTGCAATTAATTACAGTAATTTAACACCAATTTCGCGGTACAGCTTGCCGTAAATGCGGGTTAAATTTACTTTGAGTCGGTACACCGAAGCTTTAATCTGCGTGGATATATTAGAACCCCACAACAAGCGAGAATAATATAACAAAGGAAATGCTCCAACAAGACGCGCCATTGCAGGCGCACGCAAATTGATGCAATAATTACTTATCGCGTGATCGTCTAATTACTGTGTCGACAGTCCGGACCATTTTACAGGCTCACGTCCTACCTGTGATCTATGAAAATTAGCTGAATTTTTCGATTCGATGAAGAGATATCAGTCATTCTGATAGCCATGAGTAAGTTAGATCGGTATCGGGAACACCAAAGCTCGTTAGCGCATGGCGTAGTTATCATTAGCTTAACGCAGATCGTCATAATAACGCTGCGTTGCGCGTTCGGGATGCAGGATAGAGGATGTTAGCTACGGTCAGCAGCAATAATAATGAGAACCAGCAATTTGCGACGCGCGAGGCTTTTACCACTTCGCTGCTCTCTTGAGGGAGCATTAATTTATTATCCTGGAATTGTCATACCTGTGTATATAGATCATACCGCTCGCATTCATAAAATGTTAACGTATACATGGGGCAAATATAAATTAACCGCTAGTATTTAATATCACGCTTATGAAACTATATTCCGCGCCGTATCTCAATTCTGCTTCCTGTATTTCATTCACTCCTCATCAAGTAACGTAATATTCTTATAAATGATGAAAAATTGTGCAACTTTAAATTAATAAACACATGTATATATTATTTTTCTTAACATTATTTCACGAAGCATCGATTGGAAGCCAATAGCGTTCTGTATTTCATAGATCCCTAATTTTGCAAAAAATTATTAAATCAAAATCTAAATCTGTCCATGTTATTAAAAAACAAGCTCCGCAAAAAGTTATCGGCGTATATCCACATATTGACGCATACATTGGCTTCAAGTATTTCTTCCATCTCCTCAAAGAATCTCCTCGTGAATCACAACGTTCGTCTCGCCAAGTCGGGACGTTTGCAGCGGATGGCGTAGCGCCTGCCGATGAAGCCTTCAATGAGTTCATCGAGGAGACGGCTGGAATAAGAGCGAAAGGGGGCCAGGATAGCAACAATTGTTCCCCAAAGTCCCATCAAAGGGAGATGTAGGGACCTTGGCAAGACTAGAGACGTTCTAAATTTTGCGAATCTACGTCGCGACGCGCTAATAAGACCTCTGTAATGGCAACTTGAGGGGTTCTCTCAATCTTGCTTGACGGTGAGGCCCTATGTAAATCGACGAAACGATGAAAGGAATTTTGAGATCAGTTTAACCCCCGCTACGAGCTACTCGTCGACATAGAAGCCAGAAGTGGTACAAGTGGCAGCAAGACGCGGATTTACATAGAAATGTCTTCCGCCTGAACGACTTTTCATTTTCGATGGCTGAGCACTGTACAAGAGGGAGATCGCCAACTATTCCTCTTTTCAGAAGGTGTTGAAAACTTTACCGAAACTTCAGTAAATTTAATCATAGGACAAACTGCGCGTCCAACAAATCAAGTATATTCATATTATATCAAAGACGCTTAATTGCGCAAAATAATGCCGAACAAGAGAGTAAAATTAAGTGAAGAAACCAATTTTCAGAAATAGAAAGAGAAATAATAAAAAAGTTTATTTAAAAAAAAAACATCAAACGAATATTTTTGTTAAAATATCTATTTTTTTTTTTTTGAGTCTATTTTCACGTATGAAAGAGTGCAATGCATTCACTATAGACGTATTAGAACGAAGCACAATGGCGATTCTATTGAAAAAAATTTTATTGCAAACTAAAAGTGATGAAATGTTATATGATATACGACTTGTTAAACCAAATGGCGCGAACAGCTTTCTTTGCGGGACTTGCATTCCAAGCCAAACATTCAGCGCACTCGCAATGTTTAAATCTCAAGATTAAATATTATCTCACTAATTACGGTTTTAATTAAAATTTTCTCAAGTTAAAATCCATTACAGCCTAATTGGAAGCTAAGCTTTCTTCCCACTAAAACTTAAGTAACTCGCTAATTAAGACATTGATAACATTTTCTTTAACAGAAAAAGTAATACCTCAAACTTAAAACAACTGCGATTGTTACAGATGTTGAAGCGAGGTATGCAATAAAATGTAACGATATAACTGTGTATAGAAATAACATGATAAAACATCCAATTTATTATGTTTTTCTTTTCCTCTCGTTTTAAAATGTTCACATTTTCGAAAATGGCAAATTGCGCGGAGCGCGTAAGTGCTCGCATAATGATCGCTTTGTAACATGTATCCCGTGGGTTTTTCACGAGCGGTAAATGCAACGCACTCATTATTGCAACGAGCCCCCCCGAGGTATTCTCCGCTGTTCGCGTATCTGTTACGGACACCG